TGAGCGGTTATGAAATTCTGCAAAAAAGATCGCTTTAAGGCAGCAATAAATTAACACTTACAGTTATACAATAGTGTGCTCAAGTTGCAAAATTACACTATTTTTTTTAAATATATTTTAAGCTCAAACTGTACTACTTGGCATACTTTATGCATAAGCTAGGGTATGCATACAGTGTGCATGACAAATTTCATAATCATCCCAGTAACATTACATTTTGAAATAGTTTTGCACTAATTAGTTTGTCCACAAGGTGGGAACACCGACCCAGGTCGTTGTATCACAGGCCCTGTCCCAAATGTCTCACTTCATGTGCACTTGTGGTCTTGCGGTCTTATAATGGCAGCCACGTGTGCGTGTCCGTTAAGTTCATAAGACTGTAGGGAGTCCCAATTGTGTTGTTTTGGGGGGGGTTTGTCTATAAACGGATAGAATGCAAAATCTAATGTTGGTAACCAAACAGTAGCTGTTGACTTTTTAATAGTGTTTTTTTTTACTATTATACTATGGAAATCAATGGCTACCGACAACTATTGGTTATCAACATTTTTAAAAACATCAACAGAAGAAAAAAAACTAATATAGGCTTGGAACAACTTAATGGTGAGTAAGGCCCAATCCCATTTCTAACCCTTACCTCTACACTTATCCCTACCCCTCTGTTTTGCGCATTCACATGAAGGGGTAGGGGTGTGTCGATTCTCTTTTGGTTCGAGGGGTAGGGCTAGGGGTAAAAACCAGATAGCCCTTCAAACAAAGATTTTTCGGGACCAAACTTCAAACAAAGGGGTATGAGTTATCTCAGCATAAACCGGCTACAGCGGCAACATGGCTGCCCGAGCAAGTTTCTTTGCTCCTGACTGTGTGAGCTGTGCAATCTCGTGTGTGTGAGCTGCACAATCTTGTGTGTGTGTAAGCAGTGCATTGATATAGAATGGTAAGGGTCTATTAATATAGAATGGTGTAACGATACAGTAATGGCATCCCATTTTTAGGGGAATATTTTCACCCCTACCCCTTGACGCTCTGTTTCAAGGGGAAGGGGTATACAATAGAATTGGGCCCAAATGATTTTTTTTTTTTTTTTTTTTTTTTTTAAAATTTTTTTTTTAAAATTTTTTTTTTCACTCAAGTGACTTACCGCCTCTTACTGGTAGTTTAGTTGAGAAGCATGTTGAAAAGTATGCATTTTCCCCTCAACATTTCTTATTTGTATATTCATAAATGCATTTAAAACATTAATCTCATAACATTATTTATTGCAGTTGTAATTATTGTTATTTGCAGTAAATTTTTATTGTCCTCATTTGTAAGTCACTTTGGATAAAAGCGTCTGCTAAATGACTAAATGTAATGTAAATTATTTAATCTGACTGGTAGCAGCCCTATAGTGTATTGAATTTATTGATAAATTGTAATAATTTGACATGTAAGATGATGCATACATCTAAAAAGGTAAAAAAAAATAGGCCTTTGTAAAGGTAAATATGCATATTTAAGTATGTAAAAGCTGATAGAACACTACTGAAAATATTGCTTCAGAATTGTTTACTCCACCAAAAATCTCAGTGATGCTGTTTTTGCAGGGATATTTTGTATGGAATATTGTCTGCTGACATGAAGTTCACTGTATATCGTAGTAATAAATATCATTTATTACAGCAATGATGTTTTTTTTTATACACATTAAATTACATATGTAATGTGTATTTCCATTACAGATTTAAATCTTAAATTTCATATAAGGTAGTATTAAAAAGGTAAAATTTTACTTGTTCATGTCTGCAGAAACCCTGAAATAGAAATGCGCTGCAAATATAACACCACAGAAATGTGGCGCAAATAGGTGCAGACTACTTTGGAAACATTTAAGGAAACCACAATGTGACAAACATGGTTGGTACATATTTATCAATGTTTGCTCTGAAAGGTGTGATTTGTTTATATTAACATCCTGATCATATGATTTCTTAGCTTATTTAGGCTCACTTTTTACAACTTTCCTTACAAAAAATAACCATAGCCTATGGTTTTACTATTAAAATTAATATTATATTTTTAAAAATGGTTATAGTGTAACAATCGGCCTTATCTGAAGATATTGCAATAATTAAAAGGGGTCAGATTATACTGTGTGAGGTAAAATAAGTGTTTTTAAAAAGATGAGACTAATGACAAAATTAGACTGCATAAAGTGTATTTGCACAAAAACAACACCATAAAACTAGAATAACTTGGGCTGTTAAAAGCAGATTGTCCATTTGGATCATACCCTAAAACAGTCCTTAAGAATCTTAGTGGGTTGAAGTTCCAAGGTAAAAGTGTCCACTGGTGTATATACAGTCCAAAAAAAGTGATTATCCAAGATGTGTGAGATACTGGAATGGTAAATCCATAAAACAACTCCACAATCCAGTGTTTGGTCAATGACCCTGTTTGTTTGTCATGCTGCTTGCTTTATACTGGTCTACTTCCTGATTCATGGTCTACTGCAGACCCATGAACATTTAAAGACATCCACACATTTAAAATAAGAGGAAAATCTAAATACTGAGAAAATCTCCTTTTAAAGTTGTCCAAATGAAGTTCTTAGCAATGCATATTACTAATCAAAAATTAAGTTTTAATATATTTACAGTATGAAATTTACAAAATATCTTCATGGAACATGAGCTTTACTTAAAGGAGACGTATTATGCCCCTTTTTACAATATGTAATACAAGTCTCTGGTGTCCCCAGAATGTGTCTCTGAAGTTTCCGCTCAAAATACCCCACAGATCATTTATTATATCATTTTGAAAATGCCTATTTTGAGTGGAAGCAGAAACATGCTGTTTTTCGTGCCCGTCTCTTTAAATGCAAATGAGCTGCTGCTTCCTGCCCCCTTTTCCAAAATAGCGATGTGCCATTACAGCTAGGACCTGCTAAAAACATCTGTTTTGGTTCTGATTATCATGTTTATCGTACTGAAATCATGCGTTTTAAACCATATTAGTTTAAACTTCTAACATACGGTTTTCTGAGTGCACACATCCGGCACATGGCGGCTGTCACAGCATGTGAGTACTAAACTAAGTTCTCATTCACACAAGTTTACCTTAACACACGAGTTACAAAAACAGTTGGTTATGTCTGTGAAGGTAAACAGCAGGGAAATAAATTGCATGTTTATTTTAGTAAATCAATAAGTCTACTGCTCTGTTGTCTCCTCTGAGGGTTGGACTGTAAATAGTGTTCGGTGTTCGTATGTGCAGCCAAAGACAGAAGAGTTAGCATGTTTTGCTCAAACGTTCACCGTGGCATTACACCATTGTTGCTTGCAAAATCAAAATGACGGCGCCGTGGGTGTAAACTTACAGATTAAGGGACGATATTATAATGAAATCCCTTTGCCACGTCACCAAGGGAGAGAAATCAGACGCGCTCGTTTTTTTCAGACATGTGCAGAAAAAGGTTTACCAAAACAAAGTTACTGGGTTAATCTTTTTCACGTTTCCTTGGTTGGTAGATGCACCGGGGACCTGATTATAGCACTTAAAACCAGGAAAAGTCAGATTTTCATGATGTCACCTTTAATATCCTAATGATTTTTGGCATAAAAGAAAAATCAGTCATTTTAACCCATACAATGTATTTTTGGCTATTGCTACAAATATACCCCAGCGATTTAAGACTGGTTTTGTGGTCCAGGGTCACATATGTGCCGTCAAGCTGATGAGGTTTTCTTAATTTGCGGGTGCTTTTTCTATTTACATGTGTTTTCTAAAGTTGCAGTGCATTGAGCTCTCTCGGCCACTATATAACTGTGTATGTGACAAAAATAAAAATCTTGAATCTAATGGTGTTTGCGAGTATGCCCTTTGTGGCTGCTATCAACCCAAGATGCACACTTCTGCCAAGTCCATAATGAGGCAAGCTATCAGACTTAAACCAGGCTGTCAAAGTGGCATTATGTAATGTGGACACAGTGTTGACGAGTACTTTTGTGAAGAGATTAAGAGATGCATGCAATTCCAGTTTAATAGAGTACAGAAACATTTTATGTCAAAACATCTGGAGAGAAATGGAAAGTTTTATTTTAGTCTCGTGTCTGCTCTAATTTCTAACTTTCTAAAACTTTTCTCTGCATTCGCATGACAACTTTGGACTTAAAAGGATAGTTCACCCATAAACAAACACACCTTACTTCATCTTGTACTTTACTCTATAAATAACCATTGATGATGTGACTGCAGGGTCCAGGCCTTGGAGCACTACAAAGTGGTCATGGGCTATAGTTCCACCAAGAGCAACATTTCCAGAGGACTGAACAGGGCTTCCATCCGAAAAAGGACCCAGCGCATCCAGCAGACCGTCAGCAGCTGGACTGATGTGGCCATGTCAAACATCCGCAAAACCTCTTAAAAGAGGCACCTGTTTTCATTATGCTACTAAACATGTATGTTGTCTTGCGTTTCTCAGTATATGCCAGAAGAGGCCTTGTCCAGTATTTTGAATGGACCGTTTTCTTATCTGTCTGTATCTTTTAAATGTTTAAAGTAAAGGGCAACTGAATATACCGTATCACTATTTGGGAACATTTAGCATTTACAGCTGCTAATTATCAGATTAATGCACATTCCTGGCTCAGTGTGCTTGACGTAATGAAGCATTTAGCAATTCTGCTGTGAAAAAACACAAAGATGTGAATATTTGAAATGCATGTGTTGAGAGGTCAAGGAATTAGAAAAGAAAAAAAAGCTCAATGTTATTCATCAAAAAAAAAGACTAACTTTTTTTTGGATGTGTTTTGTTTGTTTTTTTTTTTTGGTTAAAAAAAAAAAACATCCATCCAACACTAAACTGACATAGATTCTGACTGTGGGAGATGTTACTAATGTTATTATGTTTGCTGACTGTCGAACCTATTTAGTGGAAATTTATTAACAGTATTTTACTACTTTGGTGCTTTATGGAGTTTACTGTAAAACGTAGTATTTGTGTAAAGCAGTGTTTCTCAACCCTGGTCCTGGGCGCCCCCCAGCACTGCACATTTTGTGTGTCTCCCTAATCAAACACACCTGATTCAACTCAGGACCTGAAATGGGTGTGTCAGAAAAGGGAGACATACAAAATGTGCAGTGTTGGGGGATGCCCAGGACCAGGGTTGAGAAACACTGGTGTAAAAGGAGAATAAAATGCAAAGTATGCCATATTTTCACAAATTCACCAAGCAAATATTAAGACACTATAATCATCGATTGTACTTTTAATATGATCCATATACATTACCAAAGGAGAATAAGAATTCAAATGAGATCAGTTGTCTACAAAACTATTACATGCATTTGAGTTTTTCAAAGTTGAAATTATGTTTACATGTATTGCTTTGCATTATGCATGTGATTTGTTTATAATAGGACAAAAACAGCAGAGTTGTTTGCTTTTTATACTTAATAAAAACTTGAATATTTCATACATTTCAATGATTCATTACTTTTCACCATAATATTTTAAGTATTTTTGAGGGATTTTTTTTTTCCATAGCTCCTCATGCTGCTTTTATTTTTTATTTTTTAATTGACTAAAATGCAATAAAATAACAGTGATACAATGTGCTTGCCTCCGTAATGACCCATAATGTTTTTTTAAGGATGGTAAATGTTTGAAACTCCAGAGGGAGCAGCTGTAAAACCATATGCAAGGTTTCAGCTCATTCAACAATTTTATAAAAAATATTTTAATAGGTTTTGCCATCTTACTGTGTTGAAGGGAAGTTCAGGCTGCCTTCTAGAATGAAACACTCGTTCTATGGTTGCATATAATAGTTTACATAGGCTCAATCAATTAGTGAAAGTGAAACTAATTGATGAAAGTGTCAATGTTAAGGTGCAGCCATATTAATCATTGTACAGCAAATTTTTATTGGACTGTCGAACCTATTTAGTGGAAGTTTATTAACAGTATTTTACTACTTTGGTGCTTTATGGAGTTTACTGTAAAACGTAGTATTTGTGTAAAGCAGTGTTTCTCAACCCTGGTCCTGGGCGCCCCCCAGCACTGCACATTTTGTGTGTCTCCCTAATCAAACACACCTGATTCAACTCAGGACCTGAAATGGGTGTGTCAGAAAAGGGAGACATACAAAATGTGCAGTGTTGGGGGATGCCCAGGACCAGGGTTGAGAAACACTGGTGTAAAAGGAGAATAAAATGCAAAGTATGCCATATTTTCACATTCACCAAGCAAATATTAAGACACTATAATCATCGATTGTACTTTTAATATGATCCATATACATTACCAAAGGAGAATAAGAATTCAAATGAGATCAGTTGTCTACAAAACTATTACATGCATTTGAGTTTTTCAAAGTTGAAATTGTTTACATGTATTGCTTTGCATTATGCATGTGATTTGTTTATAATAGGACAAAAACAGCAGAGTTGTTTGCTTTTTATACTTAATAAAAACTTGAATATTTCATACATTTCAATGATTCATTACTTTTCACCATAATATTTTAAGTATTTTTGAGGGATTTTTTTTTCCATAGCTCCTCATGCTGCTTTTATTTTTTATTTTTTAATTGACTAAAATGCAATAAAATAACAGTGATACAATGTGCTTGCCTCCGTAATGACCCATAATGTTTTTTAAGGATGGTAAATGTTTGAAACTCCAGAGGGAGCAGCTGTAAAACCATATGCAAGGTTTCAGCTCATTCAACAATTTTATAAAAAATATTTTAATAGGTTTTGCCATCTTACTGTGTTGAAGGGAAGTTCAGGCTGCCTTCTAGAATGAAACACGTTCTATGGTTGCATATAATAGTTTACATTGACACTTTCATCAATTAGTTTCACTTTCACTAATTGATTGAGCCTATGTTAAGGTGCAGCCATATTAATCATTGTACAGCAAATTTTTATTGGACAAAATCTAGTTATTTTAATAGGAATCAAGGGGATCAGGTTTACATATAGGCTTCAGTTGGTCATGCAGATTCAACATGTTGACCAACAGAAAGCTTTTTGTTTTTCATGGCATTAAATCCTTCAATCAAGATACTTTTACTTGAGATGCAAAACAAATACATTGTCTTTTAACAAAATTAAGTGATTTTATGCTTAATACAAGAACTTGTTTTTCCTTTTAATTAAATACAGATTGTTAGCATATTTTTCTTGTTTTATTCAAACTTCATTTTGATCAGTTTGTCATAAAACAAGACTTATGTTATTTTTGTAAATTCAAGTAAATACATATCTCAAGTAAAGAATCTTTAGACATTTGTGACCACAAAACCAGTTATAAGTATCACGGGTATATTTGTAGCAATAGCCAAAATTGTATGGGTCAAAATTATCGATTTTTCTTTTATGCCAAAAATCATTAGGATATTAAGAAAAGATTATGTTCCATTAAGATATTTTGTACATTTCCTACATTAAATATATAAAAACTTAATTTTTGAATTGAATCTTTGCAATTTTCTCAATATTTAGATTTTGTTTTTGCCACCTCAGATTCCAGAATTTCAAATAGTTGTATCTTGGCTAAATATTGTCCTATCCTAACAAACCACATCAATGGAAATTTTATTTAGCTTTCAGATGGTAAATAAATGTAAATTCCAAAAAATTGACCCTTATGACTGGTTTTGTGGTCCAGGGTCACATTTGTACTAGAAAACAAGACAAAATACTGAAGGTAACAACGGATCTGATTTTGAATGTATAACTGTATAAGTGAGCATAATGCCTAAATATAAGTTACATGGTAAAGAGTGGGAGGTTTTACCTCTCAAAACGTGAATTGCACCTTTTGAAGGAGCGATGACACGAAGGCTCTATCACTGCAACTCCGAAATCAGAGCACAGTTACATTATTTAATCAAAATCTATTTATATCTATACAATCCTGTCTTTTATCTTTTAAACGGTCCAGATTGGTATATCCTTGAAAGCTGCTGAACTTGTTAATTTTGATTGTGCAAAGTTCTGTATTATGTTCTACAATATGAACTTCACGAAAGACTTCCTCTATTGACTTGCTCTATCCTCTGTTCTGTGAGAAATTATAGAGCGACACGACGGTAAGCGCATAGCCTAATTGATTTTTGTTGTTGGATTTGCATCAATTAATGACAGTTTTGACTGTCATGGTGTGTGCATAAACGAGTGTGAAATACCTAATTACGTTGCTTATTCCGATCACTTATATTGGGCACTTTTTTGCATTTAAATTCTGACTGTTGACATTGAAAATTATGCATGTGTTTTTTCGAGGGTATCAGTTAATTTCTTGATTGCCATTTTGACCGTATCTGCTTGCATATTTTAATCATATTTGGTCATTCTCTTTAATGTATTTTCCCCGATTTGATCCATGGGAAATTTATCTAACATATTTATTATTTTGTTTTAAGGAGTTAAAAATGGCTCGTATCAACCTTGATTGACATATTCTATGACATTATTTTGACAGTTAAAGTTTTGGGCGTGTTTTTTTTTTTTTTTGGAGTGGGTGGTTTTTGTGAGCTTTTGGGCTAGACATCGTCAGTCCTGTCTGGCAACACTGACAGCAGGACATGTTTAAAGACTGTCAGCACATAATCTATTAGCACATGCAGCAGATGAACACTAGAGCTATAGTATTAACATAATGAATGGGTATGTATCAACATTTTGACAAAAATAATCTAGGTTCAGCAAAACGTGCAGGCAGGAATCCAAAAAACTATATATTTATAATGGCAGTGGGAATGCTCCTGGTGATGTCCATTCTTCATCTAAGCTCCTTTTATCTTACAGCTAATTAAAACCAGCGAGAAAACAGAAGGTCTTCTGAGAAATGTGTGGGTCACCAAAAAATCGTAAAGAACACAAAGCCTCAGATTGGAGGACTGCTATAAACAGATGCAGTTCAGGTGCTCATGTCCATGGTTACCTTCACAAAAGACCATTACAGGAGTCTGTAGAAACTTTCGCGACACGCTGGCAAAGCAGGAAACTCAATAAAAGATGACCCTGACACTACGTTCTATAACTGCTCTTTGTCATACTTTTGTCCTTGTCTCAATTATGGCATCTATAAGAGTCACAGGGGATTGTTAATGCGTTCAGTGTCCAGTCTTTAATGTTGCTGGTCTCAGACCAGGGTGATTGTTTGTTTTGGAGGTAATTTGCAAATCCTTGTGGCTCATCCAGGCTTGTCTACCATGGAGATCATCTATTGAGTCTACATATCATATGAACAGTTCTTCTGGTTTGAGATGAGATCTTGATGTGTTTGAAAATGTACTACTTCTGCGTGTGCTGTGGATGGAGAAAAAAAATTAAATTAGTATAGGAGGTTTGAGAGATTTACTACAGATGGTCTTTCAGCCTTACCAGCTCTAGTCAATGCCCTAACTGTTGAACCCTCTTACAGTTTTTCTCAATTGCTAACACACTATAACTGATTCGTTTGGCACAATTTTCCAAACAAGTCATACAGTTCCTGAAACAAAGAAAAGTTTCTCAAAACTTTTAACACATTTCACCTGTTTTCACACACGCTCCAATTTGCTCAGTGTTTTTTTAGCTAAACTCTACACAAGAACGGCATAATTTTGCACAGGTTTAACCACATACACAATATAACTACCTCAAGAATCACAAAATGAACACAAATAGCACACATTTATCCATGTGTGAACATTAAGTAGCAAAACTGATGACACACCAGTCAGAAACTCATGATGATATAAAAAGGAGCACAGGTGATTATGTGATTTGGAAAATGAATCCTACTAGTGGGAGACAAAGAGGAAGAGGAGGGGAAAAGAAAACTGAAGGGGATGGGGTCAAAGGACATTTATTCCTGATGAAATACTCAGCACTATAGTTGATCATGTTCTTGTGCATGAGGACAACTGGCCTACAGGCTTTCAATACTACTTACAGATCAAATATAATGACAGAACAGTAGCAGTACTTCAGATGAGATAGCTTTTACTTTTTATATACATGTACAGTAAATACTGAAGAACAAGTTGTACACCCTCAAACTCATAACTGCTGAACTGATTTGTAGCCAAGTACAGTACTTCTTACATGTACTGTATTTTTGCAGAACTAAGAGATGGCTCTATATTCTGTTGTGTTCATATGCAATTCTTTGGTATTTGACCTTTTCCTTTCTAGTGCTTTTCATCTACTGTACTGTAAGATCTGCAGTGTAATGAAAATAATATTTTCTTACTGTAAAGCGTATTGTTGAATTTCACTGTATCTGCTATATTTACTGTAACATGTATCTGCTCTAATTATGTTGTATACTGTAATAGACACTGAGCTGTAAAATGATACCTGATTACCAAAAGAAGGGCTTGTGTGTCATGTCTGAGGGCGAAGTTTGTTTTTTTTCAGCAAGATTGAATAGATTTGAGTGGAGAGCTTCATTTTGACCTGAAAATAGGAAGTATGGGGAATTGGGTGAGAAGTTATGGATTTGTGTTTAGAGTTTCGAGAAAAGGAGTCACAATTTCAAGAAATGTGTTTAAGCAATTGAGAAAAACTGTAACTATATAACACATGGTAGCAATTTTAGATATTCAATTCGAATTTAGAATACACATTTGACTGATGATACATGACTTAGAGACACGTATGACTGATGAATTTTACACAGTTATGCAACTGAACTGAATCAATACTGAACTGACTTGAGCTGTAGAATTACACTACTGACTTGTTAGAGAGAAAAACTGTAACTATATAACACATGGTAGCAATTTTAGATATTCAATTCGAATTTAGAATACACATTTGACTGATGATACATGACTTAGATGAATGTAGACATACATGACGTATGACTGATGAATTTTACACAGTTATGCAGCTGAACTGAATCAATACTGAACTGACTTGAGCTGTAGAATTACACTACTGACTTGTTAGAACTTCTTTACAGCAGAATTGGAATTTGATACTATTGTGAAGCTGTTGTGAAACAATCTATATTGATAGATAGATAGATAGATAGATAGATAGATAGATAGATAGATAGATAGATAGATAGATAGATAGATAG